GCTCCCCAGTGTGGGGGAGGCCTTCCAAGGAGATATTCAAAGTTGGTCATATCCTTTGGGATATGGCCTAGGCCCACCCCCATGCGTCTAGGCTCAGGGAGTATCCCTCTATGTGGGACGGGCTCCCAAAGTCCATTCCTATGCTTGGGATAAGTACTGATCCACTACAAGGAGTCCCATAGATTTCCGAGGTCTCCTCTCCGACACCCACATTCAGGGGGTCTGGATCAGTCCCATGCTAGTTTCCCAGCTATCAGTCTGGGAACCAAGAGCTCTTCCTTGTTCAGGTCAGCTGTTTCTGTGGGTTTCACCAGCCTCGTATGGACCACTTTGCTCATCAGTCCTCCTTCTCTGCAACTGGATTTCAGTTCAGTTCAAGCTTTAGCTGCGGGTGTCTGCTTCTACTTCCATCAGCTGCTGGATGAAGGCTATAGGATGGCATATAAGTTAGTCATCAATCTCATTGTCAGGAGAGGGCATTATTCAGATTCATATTTAGGGCCACAGGAAATTCTGGAAGAAGGCTCAGAAGTTTCTCTAAGTGTGATTTGACTACTCTAGAAAACAAGATACACTTTCAAAAAGATTACTGTTTTTTCTAATAGCTAACCTTAAGTACAAGATGAATAAGTTAGTCATTTGGGGATCCTTTATGATAGCTAATAATATTGCTCAAAATTTCTTAGAATAATTGTAAAATCAACAGATTAGGTGTATTCCTCTTTACTTATTTTCTGGGTAGATCTGGTAAATCTGAGATGTCTGGCATTTAGATGTTAACGTTTCTTCTCTTTTATTTTGCCTGTAGGGTTGGCTGCTGCCAAACTCTTATCTGAATATAAAATTAATGTCTTAGTTTTGGAGGCCCGTGATAGAGTTGGAGGAAGAACATATACTGTGAGGGTAAGTGATTTCAATACTTAACAGCATGCCACTTAAAACTATAAATGGGGCCACTTGAAGTCATAGTACTGGAGAAGATCTCATGAGATCACACAGTTAAGCCATTTGCCCACCAGGTCTAAACCATTTCACCAAATAAGTGGCCTTTTCTTTCTTTACCTGTTTATTTTTGAGACAGTGTTTTTCTCTGTATTTAAGGCTGGCCTTAAACCCACTATATAGTCCTGGCTGACCTCAAATTCATTCTCATACCTCAGTCTTCCAAATGCTGGGATTATAGACATACAGTACTATGCCCAACATGATCATTCTTTTTAAGAAGTGCTGACTAGATAGTGATGGCCTCTGACTTCAATCAAATCCTAGTAAACACAACAAATGTGAACAATTAACTTCATTCCAGTGTTATAATCTCTATATTAGAGAGTCAAATTGAGTATATAGTACGTGAGGTAATACAATAGTTTGGCATTACTAAAAGTAATTTTATATTCCTAATACACACACACACACACACACACACACACACACACACACACACACACACGCACACACACACACACAATGTTCCTTGTTTATTCAACAGTATGCAGCTTAAAGAAGTATAGTGGTTATAGTATGCAGAATTAAATGTATCATATCATTGTGTACCTTTTGCCCTTGGCCTCTTTGCTCAGGTTGGGTCTGGCTACATTTAAAAAACACAGTTCTTGTTACATCACTGCCTTTTATACATGGACCTATATTAGCATTCTGGAAAACTGCAGGCTAGCTATTATGCAATGTTACTGTCTCTGTAAGTAACTGAATCTGTGGGAGCTCATGAAAGTACATATGGAGAAGATACAAAGAAATAAGGCCAAAGATGGAAGTTTGTAGGGAATGTAATGAGACAGGAGGCAGAGGTTAGAGAAAAGCCATAGAAGCTAAGAAGGAGGGCCAGACTACAGCTGGCTTGGAGTAGACATGCCCAGGCAGGGAGGAGCTCCCAGAGCGTTTTCTTTACCAGTGAACTCTGAGCAGACGTTTGTCTCATTAGGCAGAGTGGCTATCTCAACTGTAGGTGGGAGAGGAAGTACTGAACATTTTCAGGCAGCAGAGAAGAAACAGGAATAAAATGGGGATTTGGAATAGCTACTGCAATAGCTGTATGATGTCGTCTGAGATAGGATGGTGCAGTAGCTCTTCCAGTTATACCATTTCATGCATTCTATTATGTGCATACACTTCACTAGACCAATGAGGCTTGTTTTTATTTTGCTCAGCTCTAACAGTGTGTCCTACAACCTTGTTACCCCATGTGTTGTCTACAGACCTATATAGCCTGGAAAGGAGAGTAAATTTTCAGGGCTGCTGAATCTCCATTTGCTTTTTAATAAGCTTCTAAGGGGAGGCTGCAGATATGCTGCTCTATGGTATAAAACATGCTTGATTCCTTTACTTTGATGTAAAGTGACATTAACTTTATTTGGAGTATTTCTGAGTGTTTCCTTAAATATAGTCTGCTATAGGTTTTGGTTAAGAGTACTTGTTGCTCTTGCAGAGGACCAGGGTTTGATTCCAAGCACCCATGTGGTGGTATACAACCATTTATAAATCCAGTTCCAGGGTCTGAAGACCTCTCATGACTTCTGTGGGTACCAGGCACACCCATGGTACACACACATACTTGCAGGCAAAACATTTGTATAATTAAAAATGTACAAAAGGAGTGAGGGGACTGGAATCTCTTCACTATGCCTACTTGAGTCTACCTTGAATAAGTCCTACTAGCATTTCACATGTAAGTCTTCCAAGATGCTCTTATATACTTTTTAAAAAAAAATTTTTTGAGACAGGGTTCACTGTGTAGCCTCGTCTGTCCTGGAACTCATATGTTGATCCAACTGGCCATGAACTCACAGAGACCCATCTACCTCTACCTCCTAAGTGCTGGGATTAAACGCATGAACCACAATATCTGATTCTTTATTTTAATTTTTTTGAGATAGGATCTTGCTGTGTAACCAGGCTGGCCTTCAACTTGAGATCCTGCTGCCCTAGCCTTTGAAATGATGGAATCATAGGTGTGTATCCCAACAATCAGTCCATCTTCAAATTGAAATTGAAAGCATTGTATGGTAGTGAAAAACACAATTTGAATATTCTGCCTATATTCACTCAGCAGATGTGAGTCTTCTGTCATTTCTGAAAAATAGTCTTTCATTTTAGAGATAGTTATTAAGTTATCCCTTAGTCCTACTTTTCTTATAATTTAAACCTTTTGCTTATTAAATAGGAACATCAGTCATGCTGCAGATTTTCAGTTAAGAGAAAGTCATATAAAGGAAATGAAATTCTGACATGCTTATCCCAATCTATGTTATTGGCTTGAGCTGCTTGGCCATATTGCTCCATTTATATATGTCAGCAGCAGACAGGAATTATTAGCATCTATTCAGCACTGTACTCTTTGGTATATGATGAGAAAGAAATCTTAGAACTACTTAGAAATGAACACTTAGCATTTATATTCCAAATGCTTAGAAAGAGAAAAAGAAGGCTTATGAAGGATCAGAATGGTATGTAATAGAAAGCAAAATCAAATATTTTGAGAATTGATTCAAACAACATAATCAACTAGTATAACTTTGGAAGAAGAAGCCATGTAAACTATTTGGATCTTTTTAATTTTTTTATTTTTTAATTATTTTACTCTTTGGATCTTTAAAAAACAAAATTTCAAATTTGATAATGTCACCTGATTTCTTCTAATGGGTTTTTCTACAAATTCAGAACTTTAATTTTTCATAATTAAACTATAATTCTACAGAATCAAATTAATAAAGTTGGAATATCTGCAAGGCCACCATAAGGTCAACATATTTGTTTCCTAATAGCTTTTCAGGTTTGTGGCCTCTTAGGCTGAGTAACATGTTCTAAATAAAGAAATAACAGGCACAGCATGACATTACACAATAACTCAGCAAATACTTGAGGTCTTGTCTAGTACTTCCAGACCAAAGTTCATTCTGTCCAGAAATTGTTTTACCTTTGTCTTCAAAATATGTTTGGAATTCATTGTTTCCTACTGTTGTTACTGTTAGCCACTATCACCTCTAGGTCAGGTTACTGCTGTAGACTGCTGATTTCCCTGTTTTTACCCTTGTTCCCTATAATTAATTTTACAGCAGTGAAAGTGAGTCATTCAAATCTAAGTCAGATCTCAAAGGCTCACTTCCTCACTTAAGTAAAAAGTCAATTCCTTTCCAGTGTCCTGAGATGATTCCCTAATTGACTTTCTCCCTTGTTCATTTTGTTCCAGCCCAGGGAAATATGTATATGAGGAAAGGTTTTCAACCCTTCTTTTTAGATTGGGCTGCTTCTTAGAACTAAGGGTGAACTGCAAGAAGACTAAGCTATATGTGCATTTCCTCCTAGCTTCAAATGTCAGGTAGTGAAAAGAAATAGTTATCTAGTATCATTAGTATCTCATAAATCTTTTCTGAGAAAAATTACTCCAAGAAGTCTACTTATTTCTGCAAACTTTTCAAATACAGTTATTAATATACAATAAAAAATAATCAGGAAAGTAATGATAAAAGGCAATGAGCACACTCAATAACTGACACAAACAATAGAATAGAAGTATTCCTGATTCTAGTAGTGGATCAGTATTTATCTCTAGTATATGAATGGACTTTGGGAGCCCACTCCACATAGATACTTTCTCAGCCTAGCCACATTTGGAGTAGGGCCCTACTCCAAATGATGTGACAGACTTTGAAGATTCCCCCACGTAAGGCCTCATCCTCCCTGGAGAGCAGAAAGGGGATGGGATAGGGGATTGGTGGGGGGCAGGGGAGGAGGGAATTGGGATTGACATGTAAAACAAGCTTGTTTCTAATTTAAATTTGAGAAGAGGAAAAAAATTTAAAAAAGAAGTACTCCTGAAATAACTTTTACTAAAACACATAAAGGAGTTGTATGTTACCAACATTCAATTTGTTGACTAAACAAAAAAAAGTGGAGAGCTGCATTTAAGAGGGAAAAATAAAACAGTTTTAGCTTATAAGAAAGTTTACATATTTATAAATAATTAAATATTTTAAATATTTTTGCAATGATTCATTTTTGCCTGGAAATGTGTTATAGTATCAGCAGAAGCCCGAAAATGTGGGCTGATTTAAGATTTCATCCAACAGAAATAAGGGAATTAGGTTTAATAAATCCCTGGGTGACTCCTATAGCAATAACCGAAGAACAAAATACACATAATAAGTTAAGTGATTTGCAAAGAATCTAGATAAGCAGGGATGGACTATATATATACAGTGCTTTTTTATGTGTTGTATTACTGAATCATCTTCACCAATAGCTCTACAAATGGACATGCCTACTGAATTGTCACAGTGTTCCCCATCTTTTGAGGGGACAACAAAAAGGGTTTGAGTTTCAGGTGAACATTTATAAAGGATATGCAAGACACAATTAAGTTAGCAAATAAACAGGATTTTTCATGATGAAAAGATTTCTTGATTACAAAGTTTAAGTATAATCATCACTTTTCCTCTTTCTACAGAATGAGCATGTTTCATGGGTAGATGTTGGCGGAGCCTATGTGGGACCAACTCAGAACAGAATATTACGCTTGTCTAAAGAGCTAGGCATAGAAACTTACAAAGTGAATGTCAATGAGCGTCTAGTTCAGTATGTCAAGGTAAGCCTGACTTTTTATTTGTATGACCAATGCGTGAACACTTTATTTGAAGAAGATTTGGTTTATTTGTGATTTTTTTCTCCTTTTAAAGCTTATTTTTAAATTCTTTCATTGTGTATTTTCACTTTACATTGTGTGATGTATGTTACAAAAGTGTATTGTCATATAGGCATATATTATATTTGAGCATGTTCTTTCTTGTACTATTCCACCTTCCTTTCTTCCCCCACTCATTAGCCTTCTTTTTCCCCTAGTTTTATTTCTACTTTCATAATTGTAAGTATCTGTATAAAATCTAGTAACTACAAATAAGATAAAACATAATAATTTGCTTAATATAATTGTCTTCAGCTATTATAAAATTTCCATCATAATTTCATTGTTTTGTATAGCTGAAAACTCTGATTATTTATATATGCCATATTTTCTTTAGCAATTTCTGTGATACCTATGTTGGTTACATAATTTAGCTATTATGAATAATGCTGTAATATTTGTGTGTGTAATTGATAAGGAGTCCTTTAGTTAAATACCCAGGAATGATAGATGTAGGCCTTATGGTAGATCTAATATTAGTTTTTTTGCGAGACTTCCATACTGATTTCCATAGTAACTGGAGTAGTTTACATTCTTAACAGAGTGGTATATAAGTGTTTCTTTTGCCCATATCCTTCCCATAATTTGTTGTTATTTGTTTTTTAATGATGGCCATTCTTGTTATAGTGAGATAGAATCCCAATGTAGATTTTATCTCTAAAGATTATTGTGTATTTGTCTTTTGAAAACTTATCTGTCCATGCCATTAGTCAGTTTATTGATTGAATTCTTTGATTTATTATTGTTTAGGTTTTGTATATTTTATAAATTCCAGATATTAACTTTCTGTCAGATAGGCAGAAGCTTTTTGTTCACTGAAAATGTTTTTTCCATGTTCAACATATTCTGATCATGGTTTCTCCTCCTTTACTTCCTCCTGGATCTCCCCACCTCCCCATCCATCCAACTCCACACTTTCTCTCTCTCTTTAGAAAACAGATAAACAAAATAAATAAATCAGAATTTAGGAAAGAAAAGAAGAAGCATAAGAAATACATATACACAAAAATGTAAAAATCAGGAACTGTAATATACAAGCAAAATACCAGTAAGATAAATGCCCAAACAAACATCACATGAGACAAAAAACAATCTACATATACCATTGCTAGACATGAGGCCCACCCTTAACTATACACCCAGTGAGATGCCATTGGAACAAACTAAGTTTTCCTTTGCAAGTGGTTGATTAGAGTATGTTGTTAGTTAGGGAGGAGGCTCGTGTCCACTTCCCACTCTCCAACTACACCATCTGGCTTGGATCTGTGCGGGCCCAGCAAGAAGCTTTTTTTAAAATTTAATGTGGCTTCTGTTTGTGAGGGTTGGCATTATTTCCTTAATAACTGAAATCCTATTTAGAAAATCCCTAAATATCCATAAACCTTGAAGTGTTTCTTTACTTTGTTGTAACAGTTTTCAAAGTCTCAGGTCTTGGATCCTATCCTAGTTACTTTTATGCTGTTGTGACAAAACACTCTGACCAAGGTCAGCCATGAAAGAAAGCATTTAATTGGGCTTATGGTTTCAGAGAGTTAGAGTCTTTGATAGTGGAACAAAGAAATGGTGGCAGGAATAGCTGAAAGCTTACATCTAAATCTGCAAGCAGGAGGCAGAGAGAAAGAGAAGGTGGAGCAAGCACACTGAGAATGGCACAAGTCTTGAAATTTCAAAACCCATTGCTAGTGGCACATGTTCTCCAACAAAGCCATACCTCCTAATCCTTCCCAAACAGTTCCATCAACTGAGGACCTAGTATTCAAACATATGAGTCTATAGGGCCATTCTCCAAAGTAAATTCTGCAACTAAAGGTAATCTTTTAATTGCCACCACCTGTAAAATCAAAAAGCAAATTACATACTTCCAAAATACGATGCCACAGAATATATTTTACTATTCAAAAAGGGATGAATCAGGGCACAGTGAAGAAATACTGGACCAAAGAAAGGTTGAACCCCAGCAAGGCAAACTGCAAATCATGTAGTTCCATGTCTGATGTCAAAGAGCTTAGATAGTTCCATCTTGACAGCCTTGCTGCCTGCAAAGATACTGCTTTCTTTCTCAAGGTGGTTACAATCCACATGTGCAGCTCTCCTTTGCAGATATCTCGTGGCTCTGGCACTTGTAATGTCTTGGAGTTTCCAACAAATCCAAGTTTCACGTCAACAGCTTCACAAGGCTTCTCAGGTCCTCCTTAGAGGGGCTCTCCTTCCCCACTCTTGGCCTCAGCAGCTCTCCTTAATCATGGAGGAAGATTCTTCAACCTTTTACTCCATGTATCTTTCTTGATTCTAAAAGCCAGAACCATGTGGACAACACTGCCAAGTTTAACTACCAACTTGGGGTGGACCCAGCATCTTTGAATCACATTTGTATAATCTTTGATTTAGTGTTGATTTTTAGGAGAAGAAAATTCTTTATGCCTTTTCTTTTCACAAGTTGGAATCTTGATGGGGTCTTGTTCTGAGGGCATCTCTCCCTTTATCCCAATGCAGATCAAGCCTTGTCTTGATCTCATCTCTTTCAGCAAAAGTCTTGGCCCCAACATTAAATTTCTTGGTGTTCTTTTTCTCTTCAAACTGAATTTTATTGCCCCACTTATTCTATTTCATGTAGACATGGTAGAGTGATTACTAATAATTAAGCAGCAGAGTCAATAAGCTACTTTGAAATCACCTCTGCCAGAGTAATTAATTCATAGCGTTTTTAATTTAGCCTCAAGCAAATTCTTAGGACAAGAGCAGAAACATGTTACATTCTTTACCTAAGAACATCCTAAGAATGTTTTCTAGCCTGGTTCACGTTGTTTTCCTCTAAAGCCTGTTGAGCTGGGCCTCCATAATCCACATAGCTTTAAACACTTTTTTTGCTAAAATCCTACCAGCATGGCCTATTAATCCCTACTTACAATGTAGGTATAGTCCCCATAGACTCATATGTTTGAATACTTGGTCCCCAGTTGGTGAAATTGTTTGAGAAGGATTAGGAGGTATGGCCTTGTTGAAGAAGGTGTATTACTAGGGATGGACCTTGAGGTTTCTAAACACTTGTGCCATTCCTAGTGTGTTCTCTCTCTCTCTCTCTCTCTCTCTCTCTCTCTCTCTCTCTCTCTCTCTCCCTCCTACTTTCAATCAAGATGTGAGCTCTCAGCTTTTCTTGCCACCAGACATTGATCCACCATATGGAATCTAACCCTCTGAAATGGTAAGAGCAACTAAATGGGTTTTTTTTTATAAGCTGTCTTGGTCATGGTGTTTTGTTATGGCAATAGAAAAGTAATTATGATACCTACTATAGCCCTCTCAGGCTGTACCCTACTTCCCTTCCTAATGTATTTGCATGACACGGGGGATAGAGTTGCCTGGACAGACAGACAAACACATGCATGTACACATGCATGCACACACGTACCTGCACATTCTTCCATAGTTCCAAGCAACTCCCGACTCACCTAGGAGCCAGTTCTAAAGGCATCAAAGAACACAATATGAGGCTATTCTGGCTTTTGAATTGGTTCTTCTGCATTCTCAGCCAGCATGTGTTTGAATACTTTGTTCATTTGCTTTGTACCTGGCTTTTCCTCTTGGAAAGTATATCTCGGTTGTGCATTTCCCACTGTTCAAAGAAGAGATTGTTTAAACTCAGCTCCTCAGATCCACCTAAGAAACAATACCCTTTTCCATTGTTATTGTTTCTCACTGAAGCCAAACATGTAGTGACTGGAACCTAGAAAAAAATGCTTGAGAAATTAACTTTATAATCTGTTATTGTAGGCCACTTCCTGAAATTAAGGGGTCATTTACTCATACCAAATGACAGGATTTCCAGACCAGCCACCACACCTCTTTGCAAAGGACACATCTTCTCCTGACTGTATACAATCATGTTGGGTCTGGAGGCTAAAGCATTGGGAGATTCCTAGGAATTAAGGACACTTGTGATCTGTGTACAGTAATATACAACCAAGAGGTCAGGAATTTTAGCAAATTTGGTAAACACTTGGTTTGGGATGCCTAGGAGTGTGTGACAGTAACAGGTGAGAATATAAACAAATAGCCTTTAGAAAGAGCTCAGAGGTTGGGGGGTGAGATTGGGGATTGGTGGGGTCATGGGAGGACAGGAGAGAGTGGGGACTTGTATTGGTATGTAAAATAAGATTGTTTTTAATTTAAATAAAAAAAGAGAAATAAGAGCTCAGAGGTAAAGAGAAGATCAAAAAGTATTAAGAGGTTTTACAAAGTGGTGACAGCTGAGGGTATATCTCAGGGGCAGAGCATTTGCAGAGTAAGCATGAGGCCTTAGATTTGATCTCCAACATCATAAAAGAATTATACAAAATATTTTGAAATGTTAGTTTCTTTAGGAATAGTCAAATCACTTTCCTATTTTCTCATTTCTACAAAGCATGGCATTTTCCTAGTCAAATGATTAACAAGAACAGTAAAAATAATAGCAGCTCCCATTTATAGAAACATTTTACATTTTCACAATTAATGTAAAGAGGGAAACCAAATCCTGTGTGCTCAAAGTCTGTCATATCATTTGGGCCTTCCCCCATGTGTCTAGGCTGAGAGAGTACCCATCTATGTGGAATGGGCTCCCAAAATCCATTCCTATGCTAGGGATAAATACTGATCTACTTCCAGAGGCCCCATAGATTGCCCAGGTCTCTGAAATGACAGACAGGTTCAGGGAGTCTGGGTCGGTCCTATGCTGGTTTCCCAGCTATCAGTCTGGGGTCCATGAGCTCCCCCTTGTTCAGGTCAGTTGTTTCTGTGGGTTTTCTCAGCCTGGTCTTTACCTCTTTGCTCATCACTACTCCCTCTCTGCAACTGGATTCCAGGAGTTCTGCTCAATGTTTAGCTGAGTGACTTCTGCTCCCATTAGCTACTGGATGAAGGCTTTA